CCCCCCCCCCCCCCCCCATGTTAGAAAACCAACTTGCTTCCTCAACTTTGGGAACTCATCTTTGTGCGTATACCGCACATCAATAATAATAAGATGGAATCATTTGGTTCCTGACCCTAAACCACTTGTTGAGGGGAGAAAATAATATACTTTGGTATATAACATATATCATGCTAATACAGATAACTTTGTTCTCATAAGCAATTGTTTAGCTATTAAGTAGAGGCACTTAATAAATCATTTTGCTAAACCAACTGTGATGTAAACCAACTTATCAAGATGAACTATCTTGAATAAAAAATCTGGAAATTATGCTCGAAATTGAATTATTGAGCAAGTTACCTCGCAAACACCATGTTGCGGGTTAATAATAATCGCACATGTAACCATCTCATAGATGCATCTTATGTGGTATACATGGCAGGTGAATGGGCCCATATTCACCTTTGATATTTCCAGCATTCATGGGATTCAATCCCAATATTAGTTGGTCTATTAATTAATAAGAACAAGCAACCTAAGAGAATTCGTAAAGAACTTTCTAGTTCTTTAATATTTACCCATATGAACTCTCTTTTATTTTTGCACATTATACTTAAATTGATATGGCTAAACTAGTTATGCCAACTGGATAAATTATCAATATTGATAAAGTTCAGGTTTACACCATGACGTCTGCAACTATCAATAAACTCCAATTTTATTATGATATGGGTTTTTATATCAATAAACATCCACTTTAGTGTGGTATTCTTTTATTTGTGTAGTACAAATTGAAGAATAAAGCGGGTAACTTTTCACATAAATATTACCCCACTACAAGTTGTAGTAATAGAAGATATTAAATCCTTCCTTTATTTATAGTCTCAATATAACCAACCGCTTTCGCGAATACTTTAGAAACTCAATAAGTTTCTTTGAGACTGACTACGACACAATAAATTGACATGATAATCAATTGTATTCCTCCAAAATAGTAATAATTGGCTCTTCCGGAGCTCTCAATTAATTTGATACTACCACATATTCATCAACATCCATATGGTCATATATCTCTTTCAAGGAGAAAGTTATACCATTATGGTCATGATCAAAATTATATGCAAGATATGTTTCTTGCATTATTGTTGTCCTTCAATAATCACATTGCCAAAATATTTTGGCGTACAATAGGTACGTGACCAATGACCATTCATGCCATAATGATGACATTATTTTCTTATATCATCTCAAACCTCCTTCTAGAGGTAAGTGTGGTATATTCGCTACTACTAGCACATTCATATTCTTCCAAGAATGAATATGTATTCATAAATCAGATGTTGTCACATTCACATCATGAATGGACCACAATCATTTATATGTGCTTTATAAAATCTCATGTCAAATCGATGACAAATATTACTTTCACAGAGTGAAGGATTATTTTGAGAATCCTTATTATTCTCATTATCACAATGATGACGAATATAATTTCGTCTATTGCCACGTCCACATCCATTGATACCTTCACGGTAATAATTTTGTCTTCTTTCAGACTGATAACATATTGCAATCACATTCTCTTAAGGGAATGAGAATGAAGCAAATTCAATGGGAAGGGTTTTCACTTCTTTGCCCACAATCATACCTGAATTTGATCATGGCAAGACATAGAAATTTTACCACTTTGGGTGGTTATAATTTCTTTCAAACTCCATTAGAGTTAAAATCAAGATTTATTGTCTTTGCTTGTATATAAAATCAAATTATAGAATGTCAAGAATCTAAAAGAGAAAAATAAAGTAAAATACTTACCTTAAATCCACAATTTAATCATGAAGGAAGTTTATGGAATAATTGACAATCATTATGCTTAATCCCAAAGCTTCTACTCAATTGGTTAGAGTTTCATGCTGATAACGTGTTATAAAACAATAAATGAAGAAGAAGAGTATTGCAGAGAAAAGTAGAGAGAGAAGATTCTTATTGATATTGGATGAATTACAATAGAATAGAACCCTCTATTTATAGGGAGAGAGTGACTTAGCCACCAAGCAATAAACCCTAGAATCTCTCTAAATATAGTTCACCATAAATAAAATTCTATTTATAACAGTAACGAAGCATCAGGTTAATTTGTCAATATGCACTGCACATATATTGACTTCGTTCCTTGAATATTCGATTTTCCGGTATCGCAGGAGCTCTTATTCATAGCTTAATAAATATATACTATATGTTCTCGAAACCCTACCTCTAAACTATATTCGCTTTTCATTTTCTTTGCAAATGTTTGTGTGTTTAAAATCTATAGGGTAGACAACTTTTTACTTTTTATTATTTTAGGTGGAATTTTAGAGTGAAAAGCGTTAGTGTGGCGTTTACCGTGTCATAACCTACTAACCTAGTGCGAAAAATATGACCTTATGATCATTGTATATTTTGAACATCAGATATAATTTAATTACTTTAATGTAATAAAAAATAATTTTGTAATTTAATGTTTCTCTGTAATAACTGAGAAGGTCAATATATATTAACTACTTCGCATCTATCTAATTAATTTGCATGCTATTGGTTTTAAGAGAGGAAGAACAGAAAGCGCATGAGCAATACTTTTGAACAGATTGTTGTGATTAACTTTGAACATATATTCGAGTTGTAACTTTAGGAAGACTTGTAGTAATAACTTTGGTATGGTTAGTTAATTAAGAAGGGAAAAGTAATATTTTTTCTGTTTCAATTTAAATGACACATTTTCCTTATTAGTCCGTTCCATAAAGAATAACATATTTCTTTATTTAAAAACAATTTAACTTTAATCAAATATTTTATTTTACCCACTTTACTCTAATGAAAAGCTTTTATAGTCACACAAATATTATGGCTCCATAAAGCTTTTGCTCCCTTAAGCTTTTAAAACTACATGTTTCAAAAAAAAAAATTGTTTTTTTTTAAAATTTTGTGCCAAGTCAAACTACATCATCTAAATTGATACGGAGGGAGTGGTAACTTTGACGGAAAAGAGCTGCTATATTGTCTCGACAAATCGTAGCTGTTTTTCTTGTTTGATCTCTTCACTTAATTAACTTGCACACTTCCACATATATAAATCCAAAACTAAATAAAATTAAAATAACCAAGCCTTTGAATTATTTAAAGGAAGGACAACACATTAAATTTGAACACATGCTAACCAGCAATTAGATTGGTAAGGGAAGATTGAACGTAAGAAATACTAATAAAGTGTTTGGAAAAGTATAGAAAGCCTTCTTTTTCCCTTTCTTTTTATCAAGTACAAAAATAAAGACTTCACATACACGCCTCTAATCCTACAAAAAGATAAATCAATCACTTCAGGCTCGTGTCCTGCATGTTCCTATCCCTACAATACATACATGCATGCAATGCATGTAATCATACCCATCCCTCCAATTACCTTATCACAAGAGGTGCCAAAATTACACTGTGTAGCTACATAAAAAATTATAAAAGTATATATTAGTAAGTACTATATTTTGACTCTATTTAATTTTTTTTATGTGTTTATTTTTTTATACGGGTTCAAAATGCCCCTAAACTATTGGAAAAGGTTTAAAAATATCCTTCATCCACCTATTGGGATAAAAATACCCTTCCATCCACCTTTTTGGTTCACTTATGCCCTTTGACGGTCAATGTTGAATTAAAAATAATTACTTAAGAAATATTTTCGTTTTTTTCAACTAATGCACCAGTAGTCCACTAATTTAGTAAAGTCTTCTTCTTCTTTTTTTCAGTTTTTACAAAAAAAAAAATTTCTTTTCATTTTTTTCAGTTTTTTTAAAGCATTTTTATTTTGTAAAAACTGAAATTTTTTTTTTGTAAAAACAGAAAAAAAAAATTGAACAAAAATATTTTTGTTTTTTAAAAACTGAAAAAAATATTTTCAACAAAATATTTTCGTTTTTGAAAATACTTTTTTTTTCAGTTTTTTTAAAAATTTCAGTTTTTAAAAACAAAAATATTTTGTTATAAAACGAAAATATTTTTTTTCAGTTTTTACAATTCTTACAAATTTTTTTTCTAGTTTTTACAAAAATAAATGCTTTAAAAAATGAAAAAAAATTATTTTTTTTGTAAAAGCTGAATTGTTTTTTGTAAAAACTGAAGACTTTATTAAATTAGTGGACTACTGGTGCATTAGTTTAAAAAAATAAAATATTTTGCATAATATTGTTTTTAAGTAATTATTTTTAATTCGGCATATCTAACGGTCAAAGGGCATAAGTGAACCAAAAAGGTGGATGAAGGAGTATTTTTAGCACAATAGGTGGATGAAGGATATTTTTAAACCTTTTTCAATAATTTAGGACATTTTGAACCCTTTTTCGTTTTTTATATGTGTTAGTGAAAATCTTGGCTCCGACTCCGCCCTAAGGCAACTTCAATCCCATGCATGCAATTAGGGCCGCACGCACGCAAAGATAAAAAGCCAGCAATCATCATCCTCCCAAAAAGACTCCATTTTCTCCCAAAGTTTTCAGAGCCATTGAAGAAAGTAGAAGGGAAAGCTAAAAAGAACACACCCACCATACAAAGTCTTCTTCTATTAAAGCAACTACAAACCATACTACGCACTACAAACACTCGCGCAAAAAACAATTCACTCACTTGTTAGTTACATAGTCTTTACAGACTTTGGCTACGGTTACCAATAATCCTCTCTTTTTCCCAGAGAAATGAAAGTGCCCTTTTCCTCTAATGACAACGTGAGTTCAAAACCATTGATTAGCAATAACAACAACAACAACAACCTCCGGAACGCTACTTTTCCGGCCGCCACCAACGGCCCTAATTTGTGCTACGAACCCAAATCAGTCCTCGAACTCCGCCGCAGTCCCAGCCCTATCGTTGAGAAGCAGGTGATAACAAATCCTGATTTCTCCGCCCTTTGCGGCGGCGACGATCCTCTCCAGCTAGGTGATCATGTTCTGAGCAACTTCGAAGATTGGGATTCTTTGATGAGAGAACTTGGCTTACAAGACGATTCTGCTTCACTTTCAAAATCTAACAACCCTCAACTCAGCCTTACACAAAGCGAGTCGCTGACTCAATTCCATAACCTCTCTGAATTCTCAGCTGACTCGACTCAGTTCCCTACATCTGATTTTTCTTTCTCTGAGAATTTCCCTCAGCAATTTCAATCAGTGAATCAGGGAAATTTCAGTAACGCCCTTGATCTCTCCGGTGATATCCACCAGAATAATTGGAACGTAGGATTTGATTACGTGGATGAGCTCATTCGTTTCGCTGAGTGCTTCGAAGCCAACGCGTTCCAGCTCGCACATGTGATACTGGCACGGCTCAATCAACGGCTCAGATCCGCCGCCGGAAAACCTCTCCAACGAGCTGCCTTTTACTTCAAGGAAGCACTCCAAGCCCAACTCGCTGGGTCAACTCGGCAGACTCGCCCTGCCAGCTCATCCGACGTGATTCAGACCATCAAATCCTACAAAATTTTCTCAAACATATCTCCAATCCCTATGTTTTCCAGCTTCACGGCGAATCAAGCCGTGCTTGAGGCAGTCGACGGCTCGATGCTAGTTCACGTCATCGACTTCGACATCGGACTCGGAGGCCACTGGGCTTCCTTCATGAAAGAGTTAGCTGATAAAGCCGAGTGTCGTAAAGCCAACGCGCCGGTTCTTCGAATCACGGCTCTAGTTCCTGAAGAGTACGCTGTGGAATCGAGGTTAATCAGGGAAAATTTAACACAATTTGCTCGTGAACTCAATATCGGTTTCGAAATAGATTTTGTGCTAATTAGAACTTTCGAGTTGTTATCCTTCAAAGCAATAAAGTTCATGGACGGAGAGAAGACAGCGGTGCTTTTATCCCCCGCTATCTTCCGACGGATCGGGTCAGGGTTTGTTAACGACCTCCGTCGTATTTCCCCTAACATGGTGGTACACGTAGACAGCGAAGGGCTAATGGGTTACGGAACGGCGTCGTTTCGTCAGACGGTGATTGATGGGTTGGAATTTTACTCTACGTTGCTGGAATCACTAGAAGCAGCAAATATTGGTGGCGGAAATTGTGGGGATTGGATGAGGAAAATTGAGAATTTCGTGCTGTTTCCGAAGATAGTGGAGATGGTGGCGGCAGTAGGGCGGCGAGGAGGTGGTTCGTGGAAGGATGCGATGGTGGCTGCCGGATTCCGGCCGGTGGGATTAAGCCAGTTTGCGGATTTTCAAGCTGATTGTTTGTTGGGGAGAGTACAGGTTAGGGGATTCCACGTGGCAAAGAGACAAGCGGAGATGTTGCTGTGCTGGCATGATAGGGCCCTAGTAGCCACGTCAGCTTGGAGGTGTTAATAATAAAAACTACTAACCCTAAACTAGTTGTAATAATAGCAGTGATTTCGATCTTTAGCTATATGGTTTTAGTTTTAGGGGTGGGGGTAGCATAACAACAGCTAAAACTCAAAAGAAACTTTCAGAAGTCGCATGTTTTTTTTTTTTGCTTTTTGTTTTTCTTAATTGTGTTGGTACTATCTTTTTTGTAATTTTGTAGCTTAATTTCGAGTCTCAGGTTGGTCTCTCTAATTAGTGGATAATTGCAATGTGTGTAACTTTTTCGCTGTTAATTTCAAAGAAATTTCCCAGCGAATCGCCATGTTAATTCGTTATTTTCCATGTAAAAACATCGCAATCTTGTGAATTATTACGAGAAATTTCATTAAAAGATAAAGTTAAACCTATGTATAGTCAAATCAGGTAGATTCGATAAACTAGTGAGGAGACGCACTGAAGCAGTATGGTGTTACCACATATTAAGTGAGAGTCTGACATAAGAATTGAATAATATAGGGAAAAAAGTGGGAAAAAAAATTTCAAATAAAAATGATATTTGAAAATTAGAGTTGTGTTTGGATATGAATATAATTTAGGATTGCCTTTAAATTTTGTAAGTGATTTGAAATAAATTTTTTGAAAAGCAACCTTTTAGAGTTTTTTAAATTTACGAAAAATTTCGAAACTAATCTTTAAGTGAAAATTAAATTTTTATGGTTAAATGCTGATTTTGAAAAATAGTGATTTCTTTTTTTAAAAAGGTACAAAAAATTTGTATGGCCAAACGGCCCCTAAGTCATCTAAAAAATATTGCAGACAAAATTATATAAAATACTCGTAAACAATATTTTTACATTATCAAGTCACCTAATACAATAACTACAGGTTAGTAACCCGCTATACAAATTCAACTACACTGATTATGTAAAACATTTTAATGTATGACCAAAAGATTTAAGTTATATATGTAGCAATATGAATTATGAAACAATAAAGTACTTTATACATGAACAAAATGAACATATAAAATTTATATAGCCAACTCTAATTAGTTTAGAATTAAAAAATATTTTGTGATTTTTCTCATATTTCTATGGGAAAATTTCACATAAAAACGACTGGGATCCTTACTTTTCAATTTTATAGCCCATATTTCAAATTACAACCAACTAGCCCAAAAATAATAGGCTAAGATTCAACATCCAACTCCAATAGGTTCTCAAAATTACTATTTAATTTTTAAAAAAGATTGCTCAAACTTTAAGTTAATTTTCGAATCAGTAAGTGTAACTCAAATATTAGTTCAACAAACCAAATCCATTTGGAAGGTGAAAATCAGATTTTTAACAAGTTTAAATATGTGGGTTTAGATTTCGAATTTGATTTTGTGAGAAATTTGGAGTGGGTATTATCTAGAATTGTTAGAAATTGAATAAGGAGGTTGTATATAAAATTTAAAGTCATTTAATGGAGATTTGGACTGATTTTGAACAAGAATTGCAACTGAAAATCGTGGAAGAAGTTCGTCTACAGACGCTTGTATAAAGATGTATAAAAATGTATAATAGTGTATAAGATGTGTTTATACACTCATATACACTATTATACAAGATTATACATAATTATACAAAAAACTGATTTCGTCCTCTTCCTCGCGTTTTTTCTGAAATTTAACTCAAATCTACTCCAAATCACTTCAAATTTAAATTTTGAACTCCGTTTGATATTTTCAATCAATCGGAACAACACCCAATCCAAACAACTAACAAACTCAAAAATCTTATTTTTAAAAGCAAAGCTTTGAATGGCCTTCAATGGTGGAATGTTGAATCTTCAATTTTCTTACATTGCAACCAAGTGACACAGGGAAGAAGCAGTAATGGCGGACGGCCTCTTGAAGCATATGTAGAAGATGTGAGAAGAAAAGAGAGTAAAAGCAATGGTTATGAGAACATAGATTTAACTTCATAGCTTTTAGAAGCAATGGTTGTAAGAAAACAGATTTTAAATTTGCTAGTGCTTCCAAAATATGTAAAATATGGGTTAGGTCAGGTAAAACTTAAAAATATGGCCATTTTTTGTTATGGTATGAAGTCAAGTGTATTTTCTTGTAATTCTTTCTATTTCTCTATCCGTAGTGCTGGCCTAAAAGATATTCCCTTAGAGACCCTTGCCAAAATCCCATCCACATTCAATGCAAGAGACTTTAAAGATATCCAATGAAAAGGAAACCATGTTAAGGTAAAATTCCAACAGTACTCAATTGGTGCACTCACCAGAAGACTTCTTAGTTTACATTCCAGTTACTGTAGTTAATTTAACAAGAGCACAGACTCAGACTCAATACTGGGGTTACAATTAGAAATAAATGTTACAGTCACACTCAAAAAGGGTTAAAGGGTATAGGTTAGTAAACATTTCTCATTCTGCTGCACCTAGAAGCAATGAATTCTTTTGGCTCTTGAAATATTTGTGAGCACTTGTAACTTAGATCACCTACTCAGTCCTGGCTTTTCCTTAACTAGCTTCCTCGACGTTAGATTGTAGATGACTGGCATTGCCGTTGCTCTCTAGCTTAGACACAGCATCTGGCCCACACAAACGCGTTAACTCTTCCTGTTGCACCATCATATAATATTAGTACTTCCATCTTTCTCCCCTTCAGAACTGCTTGGTCAGGTTAAAAAGAACAAAATAGCACTATAGAAAAAGATGAACGGATGCTGCAGCAAAAGATTCCATGATGCTAATTGCCTCACATTAGTTATAACAAATTGCTATTCGAGAAGCAGGCATCGTACTATCCCAATAAAGTACAAAGGTGATGAGGGAAAGGAAAAGGGGATCACATGAAGAGGGTACTTGAGAATATTACTTAAAAATGAGGGCAACCAAATATAGAGGAGGATAAGCAATTAGAGGAACACTTAAGAAGGTATTAAGTACCTTTATCGAACTATTCTCTGAGGTAAGCTTCTCACATTCCTCAGAGAGCCGTTGGAGCTCATCTTTGAGTGAATGATTCTCGCCGCTCAAAGCTTCTACCCTACGCTGCAGCTCTTCACACTCAGCCTGCAAAAACAAGAAACAGAAAACAACATGACAGCCAGAAAATCTAAAAGAAATTGAGTACATTCTGGATTCCAGAAATTGGAGCTAGCAAACAATCAAACCGCCCATGAACATGAATAACTAAAATCAGCTTGTTTGCTATCCTGCTGGAATTCTGGTTGCCGTTGCAACATGAATGGAAAAGAGTATCATGTTTTTGTGTGGGCTGAGTTACAAGCTTGATGTGCACGGGAAGAATTTTTACACTTCGTCACCAGTTGTAACTCCTTTCTAAACTGATGTCATATACAAGGACAGGAAAAGTCCACATACAGTAAGATGAACTCCTAAAATGGAAAGCAGCCAATTCCTTTGTTTCTTGGCATTAATTTAATGACGCTTCCCATCACTTCATGTAACCATTTAATTTAACTAACAACTATCATTAGGAGAAAACAGTAGCTGACTACTGCATCTGCGTGAATATTGTCTTCTCTATCTTTCTCCTTTTGGGTGGATACACTTAGGTTAAGCATCGATCCCCAATGACATGAGAAATTATAATGGGTATTTACACTTCTATCCAGTTATCCACTTCCTATTCAATTAAGCCCATCAAGATTCATGGTCATATATGCTTTCATTTGTCACTTAATAGTTTTCTGGTTCAAGCTGTTTTGGTTAGAACAATTGCCTTTCCGGGAGCTCAAGGGCTAAAAGATGTTTTCAAGCGCTTAACTGATAGTTAAAGGAGAGTATATTACTACATTAGTGGCTACATTTACTCAACCATGTCTCTCAAATATAATACTCCCTCCGTTCCAATTTATGTGAACCTGTTTGACTGGGCACGGAGTTTAAGAAAAAATGAAGACTTTTGGAATTTGTGGGCCTAAACAAGTTAAAAAAGGGCCCAGAGTATTTGTGTGGTTATAAAAGCTTCTCATTAAGGGTAGAGTTGTAAGTTTAAGCTAAATTATTTCCAAATTTAGAAAGGGTTCATTCTTTTTGGAACGGACCAAAAAGGGAATAGGTTCGCATAAACTGGAACAGAGGGAGTAGTACTTATTACTCCCTACGTTTACACAATATGTCTTAGCTAGGATGATTATGAAACAGTTTCACAAAGGGATCAGTAATTATAATTGACAATTAAGTCTATAAAGTGAGAGAACAGGAATATTAAGTATTGACTAAGGGTCCATAAAAGAGGCTGTACTAGGATTTGATATAAGATTCTCTTTGGAAAGGGTTAGACATAGGTGGGACAGACTTACTTTTGAGAACAGGTAATCAGCCTTCAAGAGGATGGTGGTTTAAGGGAGACCGTCTATAAGTGGTTTGTTTTATGTGACATTTGATATGAATGCATCTCCTGTTGCTTTCCACACTATATTCCATTTTTGGTACATACCATCCGTTAATTTGTCTTCTACAACTCGAAGAAATTTTCTAGCATGTGCTGTACATTGTCTTCACGAATTGAAATAATAGAGAGACACCAGATCTTGTTCTTTCAGAGGAAAAGAGAAAACACTAAGAAAGAAAGTTACAGTTACTAGGGCCTTAAAACAGTATCTGCAGATTAGAGCATGATATGCACATATCACATCGAATTGCATTCCCATATTCTTACTTATTTGTGCCGGAGACCATTTCATAAAGGTGACACAAATGTGTTTATATCAACTAGAAAAATTCATCATCATAAGATATTAATGATTTGGTTGAAACAAGGAACTTGAAGCATCAGTCTAAGTTAATGTGACTAGACGAAAATGCAAAAAGATCAGTGTGCCATATGATGGCGTAAAACAATGATTGTTTTTTAATAACCGTGGTGACAAGGCCAACTTGTGCGAACCTCGACTAATTCCACGGGATACCTGCCAGCTCCCACCAGCAACATGTACCAGGTAACTCTATCCATCAAGGCTTGGATAGATGGGATGAAATCACCTAGTATTTTTTGCATCCGCTAGGTTTTGAACCAGAGACCTCATGTTCTCACCCACTTTATTGACCACTAGGCCACTCTTGGGTGCGTAAAACAGAATGATCTTAAGGCTTTATATTGGTGTAGAGACTGTAGACCCCATCATTGTCTTTAAGAGCTGCTTTTATTTATTATTAGAAATAAATCTGGGGACCTCTGCTTGAAACCAGATGTCTGAGTCTAAAGCCATGTGGAGAAGAATTTTTATGGCTCATAATAAAAGACATATAGTCAACTCTGACCGGTAAAAGATGGAAAGAGTAACATTA